GGTGCAGAGTCGGTCCGTGCACATCTTTAGCACGGGCGTCCGACGCGTGCTTGGTGAGCTTCGGGTTGTATCTGCAGCAGAGTGTCTAGCATGAGGTTGGCCTCGTGATTAGGGGCCACCGCTGTAGATGAGAAATTCATCCAGTCCGGTATTTACCACCGCTGTCTTGAACGTGCATCGCGGAATAGTGATACACGAATTGCCGGTCGGGTACGACGCTCGCCCGGATCGGAAGACGGGCAGGGGTGGGGATTGAAACCATGGATCCCTGGGTTCTGCGACGAACACCTCGAGTACCGCGAGATTTACGCAGAATGCGCTAATTCAGCGAAGCGCAGCCCACTTAGCACTCCGTGCCGCATGTCTAGTCATGCGAAGAGTTTTTTTTCTTCTTTCCGGCTGCTTCTCCGGAAACAGGGAGGCAACAGCGACGATTCCGGTCGTCTGCCCTCTCTTCTTTGTGGGATCAAAGCCTGAACTAACAACGACGAACATCTCTGCACGCGAACAATAGAGCGTCTATATGCTGAGTACTTACGCAGTGGAGCATGAGGGGGGGGGGGGGGGGGGGGCTGGGGCTGGGCTAGTGTTGGCGCACTGTTTGCTTCCCCCCCCCCCCCCCCCCGCACACCTCTCCCTCCGCACGGTGCACCGCCATTTGTCGCGCACGCTGCATTCTGTCGCTGACGTTCTCTCAGGTGATCTTGCTAAGGTGCTGCCGACCCATACGCGAGCAAGCAAGCTCGACGCAGGGTTCCCATGCAAAAGCAATCTCTTTAAAACATTCCTGCGAAGCGGAACGGTTTCCGTCGTTTGTCGGATGTTGTAATAGTATAGTATTCATAATATTCTTTTTTTAGGTCTCCAAAAACAACCCCGGAGGTCTTCACTTTGGCGCATCATCGTCAACGGGCAATAAAAAAAAAAAAAATCAAGAAACTTCTACCAAGCAATAAATAGAACAAATTAAGAGGCTGATAAGTTCTCATTCAATTGACTGCGGTACACTGTAATTGACTGCAAAATGCCCAGGTGACTGCGTAAATGGTCTACTAAAAGTCCCCAATGAGAGGGACGGGAGTGACGGGAGCTGCACCCTTTCCATGTCGTTTCTGTGTAGTTGTAGAACTTCAGAGCGAAGCTTGTTGTCCTCAGCCCTAAGGCACTTGACCCCTGCAGTTAATACATCCAGTATGCCCGACATGCTTTCGATAAGGCGCGCAAGAACTGGTGGGGCGAGGTTCCTACACAGTCCAGCGTTCGCTGTCTCGTCCAGCGTCTCGGAAGACGGGACCATGACACCGGAAGAAACGTCCGTGCTGCTTCCCGTGTGCAGCCCAGTTCTTGGGTGACATGCTGTTTCGCAGTGTGCATCCCGACCACTTAAAAGCGCTCTTGTCGCCTTCCATGTAAATGGCCGATGTTCGGGCACTCACAGTGAAAACGCCGGTTGTAGCCAGCCGAGCAGAGAAGGAACTGTTGCTTCCCGTAGAAACGGCCAGCACGTGATCTACAAACGATGTTTTCGTGGAGCACTATACGACACGTCTTTTGTCGTTAGCGTCATTCTGCCGAATCGAAATAAATTAGAAACAAGAATGTTTTGATGCTCATCCATAAGCCTTGTCCTAGCAACTACAAAATAAAGCAAAAAAAGAAAACGGGGTTAGTATACAAGTGCATAGAATCCGGCACGATGTTCTGACGCGCTGTGTTCACCTGGTGGCCTTTTTTTTTTTTTTTCGGATTCCCCATCTTTGGGCTATGCGACGAGGCTTCTCAGTGAAGCTTGTTTCGGAAGTACGTGTGTCTTTAACCGCAAAGGCTTCATTACATAGCTTACACTGTCGTAACATCACCTGCCGTTGTGGTACCCTTGCTGTTGACCGCGTACAGTTTGTAGCGTACGTTCACGCCGCTGATTTATTTTTTTTTTTTTCATCAAGAACAAGTAAGAATGTTTACCAGCACGGTGTGCTGTAGTCATGCGCAAGACTGTTTGGTGTTCGTGTGTTTGGACACGTATATTTTCTAGCGTATTTTTGTTCTTCTTGTTTACATTCACAGGCAGTGCAGGTTCCGATTTTAGTGCCTGATAGGAGCGAGTTCTTTCTCGGCTGACAAATAAACGCGCACTTGCGCAATGTTCGTCTTTTTTTTTTTTATGTGAAGGTATAGAGCAATTTGTGAATATTTTCGGTGAAGGTTACAGAACAACTTTTGTTTGCAAAAGAAGCACGGGTTTTCTGTCGCTTCCAACTTGAAATTCAAAGAAAATTACCACAATTTCAGCTTACGTCCGATTCGACGTCGCCGCGGCTTTCAGCTTATAGCAGACGACCAACTTTTTTTTCGGCTTCCGTTAGCAGACGACTCGAAGTTATTTTCTTGTTTTCTTTCTGTCTTCGACCGGCGCGTCGTAGCAGACAAACCCCGTTCTTCCCTCGCGTGATAATCATATCTAGGCTCGCTTCCTGAGAACCAACCATATTAGACCTGCCTCTGGCGGTAACCAAACTCGGACACTAAGCATACCTGATCGTCTTGGAGCATATCTCTTACGATCTATCCTTTTCCGCCGCATTGTTACGACGGCGGTGAGGCCTTAAGGGCTGGCCGGAAAGCGTCCCGTTAAGGCCCTCGATCGGCCGTCCACTTGAGGTTATGTGAGCGGCCCGGCCCAAAGATGCATTTATGAGGCAGAAAAGTGCCGGTGGGGTGCCCCCCTCCCCGCCACCCAGGATCGAGATGGACGCCCGTCTAATGGCCTTTCCACGTCGGGCCCGGCCCTCCTAACGACTCCGCGCCGGCGCCGACTGGGACGCTTTACATCACCATTAGCGGACCTCGCCCTCGCTTTTCCCTACTTCGCCGAGAGATGGCGCTGGTGTCGCGTTATGGGCGACGTCGAGAGCGCCTCCCAGCGGTGCCGTAAAGAAGCCCCGTTGAAAGTGTGTCGCCCTCTCCCTGCGTGCCGAGCGAATCGCCCGAGAAAAGAACACTGAGATCTAGCTGGAAAATAGAGATAAATAATAATAATAACAAACATGATAACCGTAGTAGTAGTAATAATAATAATACGCGGTTCAGTGAACCGCAGAGCACCGTTCTGGAGCAAATGAAGGCCGTAAGAGTGGCACCTCTTCTGTGCAATTTGGTCTTGCGCTTGTGCCTGCATTCTGTCGCGTGCGTGCGTGTGTGTGTGTGTGTCTGTGTCCCTTGCAGAATGTGCGCGTGGTTTAACGGAGTGTGATGAAGCGAGGCAGGCGATCTCGGTGATGTGGGCCGGGAAGCTTCTACTTTCTCTCTCTTTCCCTCTCGCTTTCACCCCCTCTTCGGTTTTGGCGCGCACAGAGCCTGCTTGGGCGCATTCTTTTTTAGAGCGCAGCTCTTAGGGGCCCGTTGCCGGCTTGAGCGGCGTCGCCGTCGGCGTTGGCGTCGCCGTCGCCGTCGGCGTCGGCGTCGGCGTCGGCGTCGGCGTCGGCGTAACCAAGGTCATCCCAAGGTCACGTGACCCCCAAGGTCACGTGACCCCTCCCAAGGTCATCTCAAGGTCACGTGACCCCACGTGACCCCCTGAAGGTCACGTGACCCCTCGAGGTCACGTGACCCCTTCCAAGGTCATCTCAAGGTCACGTGACCCCAAGATGACCCCACGTGACCCTTTGAAGGTCACGTGACCCCCAAGTCACGTGACCCCTCTGAGGTCACGTGACCCCCGAGGTCACGTGACCCCCAAGGTCACGTGACCCCTTCCAAGGTCATCTCAAGGTCACGTGACCCCACGTGAACCCCAGGTCACGTGACCCCTCTGAGGTCACGTGACCCCTCTGAGGTCACGTGACCCCCCGAGGTCACGTGACCCCTCCAGGTCACGTGACCCCAAGGTCACGTGGGGGTCACCTTTGGGGTCACGTGGCCTTGAGGTCACCCCCAGGTCACGCCTCCCCGAGGTCACGTGACCCCCTCCCCGAAGTCACGTGACACCCCCCCCCGGAGCATATTAAAGAATGAGGGGAGGAGGAGGAGAAGGGGGAGGGGTCTACCCTCCCCTCAGTACCCTTCACTCCTCCTCCTCAAGAGCTGCGCTCCAATTCGGCGTTACAGGGATTTGTAAACGGCTTTCACTTTTTTTTCTAAAGTTGTAAAGGTGGTCATTTGAATTTCTGTGTACAGAGCACGCACCTATAACATTTTTTTTTATGTACTCGATGAAGATAGAGCGAAATGTTAAATTAACAATAAATCTCGCACCAAACAAAAAATTAAAAAATTAATGTAAGCATTTTTTATGTGACTTTTGTTATTTTGAGAACAATATTAAACAAAATTCTTTTTTTTCTCTAATTGCGAAATGTTCGGCTAATTACCCAAAAGTAGTGAATTTTTCTTTGCATTTAGATGTTCTTCTAAGGCTCAACACTATGTTTGCCGCAATTCGCTGCAATTGTAAATTACATAAGTGTGTTATCATTAATCACAGACATAAACTCTCGCGTTTATGTGCGTCTTTTTCGTTTGATTGTAAATTATGAAAGTTTCTTATTCTTCGGCGAAATATTGATGGTCACTGACTTTTATAATAGTTTCACCATTTACTAAATACCCACCCGTGGGTAGGTCTACGAAGTTTTTAATTAAAATATTCACTATCTTTTAAGAAAATTTATTTAGTAGTTTACACGTACACCCCCGAATCACCTGCTGTCGACCTACTGGCAACAACAAGCAGAAACACTCGTGACGTCAAAGGTTGTGTCCGGGAGCAGACAACACTCCCTATGCTCCACTGCGTTGTGCGTTGTAGCGATAGTGAGCATCCATAGTTTCACGAATTATGTCTGGTTTAGGCTTTGGCATGCGATGGAGGAGGGGGAAATTGTTTATGGGCTGTGGGGTGCAATAAAACCACGAAGGAATTCCTCAGGGAGAAAATCCGCCGCGCGAACACACCTTTAAACACGCACCGTCCTCACCTGCGTTTCGCCCCCCATGCGCAGGCAACCTGCGCACCCGGGCCGTGCTGGACTGCGAGACCAAGTCCTACTACTGGCTGACCGTGGTGGCCCAGGACCGCGGCGCCGTGTCCCTCTCGTCCCGGCTAGACCTCTTTGTGCGCGTGGACGACGTGAACGACAACGTGCCGCTGAGCGTCGAGCCGGCCTACCAGCCGGCCGTGCCTGAGAACGCGGCCCCGGGCACGTCCGTGGTCCAGCTGCGTGCCTTCGACCTCGACCACGGCGGAGGCGACGCCGAGCTCGCCTTCCAACTCACGGCGGGGGACAGCCAGGGACACTTCGCCATCGACGCCCGCACAGGTCAGGGCGGGAGCATCTTATGATGCATTCTTGACGAAAGCGACGTTATGAGCTGCGTCGCGTAGCCGTACACTCTTAATCTCGGTCCACTTTGCTTCAAGTTACAACCGGAATTTCTTGCGCAAAACATGCAGTTCCGCTTAACCAAGACGAACCGTGTTCCACATACTTCGTAGTTCGTATACGAAGCAGTGTTTCGGGCAATCGTAAATACTGCGTAGTTTATACATAGCGGTGCTTCGGGTGATTGGTCATCGTAAACAGTAAATGTGACAAAAAGGCCCCTTTTGGAAGTTTTAATTGAACCAGATTGAAGCTAGGAGGAACAAGGTAAGTGGAACGGCATGTCAGTAGAAAGGCAATTCACGTAGTACCTCCTCCGTGTTCCACCTGAACAATAAAACACGAAGCGAAGAGAAGCAGCGTTTCGCATATAAAATCCCCCGATCCACATAAAAGTTTAACCTGGTCCAGAAAGAACATCTGGAATGTCGATTTAACTGGAACCTACGTGGAACCAGATTAAGAGTGTTACCGTAGCCGTAATCCTCGCGCCGCGTACCGTGCCGTCATCAGTTAAATAGCGGGCTAACTGCCAGCTACGTTTAAGCCGCTAATAGAAAGTCTTCGTCTATTGTTTCCTCCGTCCCGCGACACTCCCCGATGCTCGCCACAAGATCCGGAACTCTACAAGGCCAGCAGTGCCCATGCGCAGTAGCGGCGTCTTCATTCCGGTGGGCTTAGCAGAGGTAGAAAAGCGGTCTACAAAAACTCCCTATTGTCCACTAAGCGTAGCGGGCTAATGTCGTGTAAAATTTAGCAGAGCACGACTGTGGATTTTTCCCAAACAAGGAAGTCCCGGGGCCGTTGGACAAAAAGTAAGCGGAACAAAGCATGCGTAGTTGTGTTTGCCTGGCGTCTATATATTTGCGTGGTGTGACGCTAATTAATAACGCGCAGGACTTTTTTTTTTAACGGTAGATCAAAGGAGCGCCTTAATTTTTATTGAATTTTCCGCCGTAACGACAATTAAATGACCACTATCTCAGCAGTTTCACACGTTCTTCTTGATTTATTTGTGATTCTGATCGCCGCACTGTAAGGCCGGCTTCACACGGAGCGACTCTTCCTGGTGTCTGGATACTGCGACGATGGTAATGCTATAGGAAGCCTCCTCGCCAGCTTCACGTCCAGGGTGGAGACACTCACCATTTTGGTTCCCTCTTTTGGTTCCTCTTGTTGGCGCCATATTGGGTCCATGTTTCGATGACTCGGCTAAAGAAACAGCTTTTCCGCTCCCCTATTAAACCCAGACATTGCGAAGCAGCAGGACCCTATATGACTCCGCCCTGTTGGTCACAGCGTGCTTCTGAAACCTGTCTACGACTAGCAATGCTGTAAGCGTTACAAAAAAAAAAAAAAAAAGGAAATACGTTATTATTTGATACTTCAAATAAGAGGAACACGCTACCAACCTATCTTACTTTAAAAAAAAAAAACGGATTACGGTTACCGATAAGAGTAACGCACGTTACTTTTGTATTATGCTTTTTTTTTTCATTTATGAATTAAAACGTTTTACTGTTCCGACGTTACAGGTGCGCGTAGGCGACATATTTCAAGAACCAATATGTATTAAAACGTAACGAGCGTGTTGGTAGAGGCTTAAGAAAAACAAAGAAAGTATAAACACAAAGGGGACAAGAACACAGACGCCGTGCAGAAACTTCATTTAATCACCTTATCTCGTGTATGGTTCCACCTGAATATTCTCGAGAAAAAACGCGAACGTACATATGATATGCCGATTTATGATATTTTAGTGTCATGAGCATCGGATGGCGTATGGATCTTTTTTGTTCACTCTCGTCACCAGCCGGGTGATTAACATATCAAATATGAGCGAAGAAAAAAAAAAGTATGTTATTTTGCAAATAGTGGAAAAAATAGTGGGGAATCATAATTGAAAATGGCCGACGATTACCCTTATATTCCTGGCGACGGAAAAACAAATGTTTTCGCCCATACTGGAAGTGACGAAATTTCAAGATGGCGGCGCCCTCGTGAAAAGGTCTATAAGCACTTTTATGTGAGGCAAAATTTTGAAGCAATGTGGGATGAGTGCAAGAATTCCTCTAACTTGGAGCTTAGAAAGACGAAAAAAAGTAAGCGTAAATATTTTAAGGTATTGGGAAGTAGAACGAGTAACGTAACTTCGTTACCCTTTACTCGAAATACGTAACATAACTACGTACCGTAAACCCGTTATACCCGTTAGTGCTTTGAAAAAAAAAATGTAACGAGTATACGTTACAACGTTGCGAAAAGGAACGCGTTATCGATAACGCAGTTACTTGTAACGCATTTCCGCCAAGATTACCGACTTGTACGTTTAGCGTCCTATCCCGCCCATGCATCGAAAATGGTCCCGAAGTGCCAACAGATGACGCCACAAAAGCCGGCGTGCCTGACTGTCGGAAGTCGCGAATCCTGGCGGTCGGCCGTCGAAGCGCTGTGTCCTGTGGTTTCTTCTACTTTGTCCTTGTCTTTGCTCTGTTTTGTTTTTATCATGTTTTTAGAACGTTTGAAAATCTGCTTTAGAAACTTCTCGCATAGTCGTGGAATGAAGTTTGAGCCTCTGGCGATGTTTTGAGTAGCATGATGTAGCTTATTGATGTCGTACGAAGAACCGTGATGTCATTTTTTAACGGTCATTTCTGTGTTTTCCAAGCCGAAACGAAACGCGAAGCTTCTGAGTCAAGGCAGTTGAAGACCTGCTTTGGAGAGCATTTCTCGTGTAGTGGAGTGTTAGCCTCTGCAGATGTTTCAATATGCGTGGTACAGCTTGATGTCGTGCGAAGAACCATGTAACCAGTTTTCCCCCCTTTTTTTTTTTTTTTTCGAACGTTCATTTGTACGTTCTAAAGGCGCAATAGAACGTCCAAGCTTTTTCTTTTTTTCTTTTTTTTACATTATAACAAAAATACAGAGAAACTAGAAAAAAAGCAAGAAAGAAGCATAGTCCTGAGTCAGGTCTTCTGTTTTATTAAAGTTGGAAAATAAAAGAAAGCGCACCCAGCAAAGTACGCGGGCCATTTGTCGGCACGCCTGCGTCGTATATCTTTTCCTCTCCTTCCCCGCTAAAAAAAAAATCAAGTTCGCGGTAAGTTAAAACATGTTCTGTTTTTATTTTTATTTTACTTTTTCATTTCCCGCTTTTTTCGCTTTCTGTTTTGTTTCGGAGTTGCATTTCAATCAATTAGCCGAGCTTGTGGCCCTACTTGCTCGCTGTTTCCGCCGGTCGATGGAGTTGTTCGCGCGGCACTGGCTTGTCACGAACCGAGCTGCTCTCGTGGACATTGCGCCCCAGTAGTGTGCAGTCCTGCCGCCTCTTTTTTTTTTTTTTTTTCTTCTTTTTTTCAAGCCTATATTTTTGGCACATTCTGTACTGTTTTTCACTTTAAAGGGAGCGGTCCGACGACATTTAGTCGTAATGCTTTTCGCTTTACACGAGCTTACTGGCATTAGTGAAGCCATAGCTTCCTCTTTAAGGCCCGTTCACACTCTTGCGACTGCTTGCGACCTCTTAAACCTGGGTTCCTTAAAACTTCTTAAACCAGAGAACACACTGGCGCCATCTATTGGGAAGCAGTGTAAACTCGGCGGTCCGGCATATTTTTTTTTTATTTCTCGCGCAATATCCTTTCTTTTTTGGCTCGAAAAACTTTTGTCAATGTTATAAACGAGCCTTTCTATACGTATTACGCACATTTGACCTCGGAAATCCCGCAAAACCTTAGCTTTTGTGAAATGCAGTTCTAGGGTCACCACATAGATGGCGCCACAATGTCAGTGTGTTCCCTCATTCTAGAAACATTTAAGAAGTTGTAAGAGATCTCGTCTCCCTCAGTCGTACTCGGTCGCAAGAGTGTGAACGGGCCTTTACTGACAAAGCCTGGCATATCGCCACGAGACGCGGCTGCCGAGAGTGAAAAGGTAGACCGGCAGACAACGGAGGAGAGGAGAGGCATGTAAAGGCGCATTTCACACTGAGCAAAAAACGCGCGTTGCGGTCCACGTCGACGCCGGCGTCCTAAAAGACGAAGCAGTCACACAGGGCCACCCGACGGCGGCGTCTTCTCGTGGAACCTCGCGTTTGTCGAGAGAACACAGAATTTTTTCATTCGTCTGCTTCGTACGATTCTTGTTGCCTTGCCTTCGCGATTGCATATGTGCTCGGAGACAACTGCCTTCACTGAATGGACAACGGCGATGATTATATATACGTTTACTCTCCGGTTCTATGCAGCATTGGCGAAAGGCACGGACTCGAGCGGGCAGCTTCAGGAGGTGCTCTTTTGCCGCGTTTTTTGTGCACACAAAGCACGGTGCTACGCCGGCGCGTCCGTACCTTTAACACTGCACGCAGCTTGTGCGAGAGTGTTTTCGATGGAGAACTGTTGTATTCCGTAGTGGTGGGTGCATACAGAGACTACACAACACATTGAGAGTGATCGCTCTCGCACAGTCGGAGGTCGGAACACACCGCGAACTTGGGTGGCAGCTTTCGCGCAAACGATGAAGAGTAGTTCCACGGCGTCGTACACGCACGTAAAACACTGCTCACAGTCAGATGTTCCAATCGGCTTGCTTCTTTCCACGCTGAAATGCTTCCAGCCACGTTTGGTGAGTGCACGAATCCCTCGACCCCTCTGCCTTTTCGCCCTCGTTGTGGGTCGAAAATAAAAACAGCGAAAACATCTCCTAACCGGAAAAGGGCGACACGTCACGTCCGGACGCTTGCTGATTGGCTCAAGCGCGCGCGTCGAGGGAAAAATTGGGTTCCGAGGCGTCGTCTTCCTGCGTCGTCCTCCTCGGCGCATAACTTTTTTCAATACAAAAGTAAGCAAAAAATTCACCCCACGACGCGCGTCTTTCCGCTCTGTGAATACGCCAAAAGCGGAGACCGCATGGCGCGTTTTTCTGCACGCGAAAACGCG